ATCTTAACCTCATTAAATGCAGGCAACACAGTCAGCTACTCTTGTGGCTCCAAGACTCTCTGGTAACTCCTATGATGACCCACAGTTTGGCATCCTGTAGAATACCTGGCCTAGTTCAGTGTTTAATAGTCCATCCCCTGTGGTCTAATAAGCTTAAAATCTAATATTACTTCATTTGTGTTGCTAAAAGAGAACAACTCTTTGCAATTATACTGGAGTATAAAGTATTACTCTCCGTGCCAGACTTTGTACTTGTCCCCTGGAGCAAAGAGACTTGACTCTAGAGATAATCCTAGACATGATGAGAAGTGGCTGGCCTGGGTCCTGAGATTATTACAGGGCCTTCGGAGTAGTCCCCTCAGGCACACACACGCAGGCTGCTCCAAGATTCCCAGCTTTTCCTCAGTCCAACTAGATGGGCCGTATGCGAAGACCCATAGTCCTTACCAATAAATGTTCTAACTTTCATATATGAGATTTATGAGTCTGATTCCATTTACTTTGCAATTCTGGAAGCCAGAGAATTGTATTTTCAGTCAAAATCAGCCCTGACACTATAGGATTCTTTTAGGGATACCATAGAAGCTCTTAGTTCTTCTGTGACTTGAACTACGAGGTAGGGACCCAAGCTTGCCATTTTCTGTAGGCTCTCCAGTGAGCGCAGATGCATCACTGTTAGAGTAAAGGTCTTCTGGTCTCCAGTGGACTTCAAAAGTTTTTTCATGGCAATCAGCCTGGAGTGATGAAACATGACGATAACCGCAGTATGATAAACATACCATGGATTTCTCATAACCTATTTCCCTTGGATGCACAGATCATTACTGTGCTCAAGGCTAAGGACACAGTCACACCAACTGTGGAATACCATATTCAAAACTGTGTCCTGGGACCACTTCTGATTCCAAATGTTGTATCAGTCAGAGACCTTTAGGAAAACAGAAAAAATAGGGTATATTTCATGTGATACAGAGAAGTTAAAGAATACAGGGAACTGGTTAAATGGATGTTTAAGACTGAAACACGAAATTACTACACTGAAGTAACACAGAGATAACGGTAAAAGCAATTACTCCCTAGAAGCTTGGGAAACTAGGCAAAGAATTGGAGTTATTAGACTTTACACTTCTGCAGGGAAACGCAGAATTGAGAGTCAGATCTCTGAAGAGATAATATCATCCAGGTGCTTCTAGTGTCTCTGGAAAGTAGTTCTGAGAAACATCAAAGAGAGTCAGGGACTGGAAATGGTCTTACCTGGAGCTGTTGCCAGGCAACAGGATCAGGAGTAAGACAGGAGAGAAGTAACTTCTCTTCTCCTCCTGCCTTCTACCTCCCTCTAGTGGCCCATATGGGTACAATGACCAGGAGGCAAAGACCTACTGTAGTTTGTGGAGCCCCAGTCTCAGCAGAAGAGAAACATGGGGTTGGAGCTGAAAGGTCATAAGTGAATAGGTCAAACAGTATGTGTGACTATATTAACACATGTGAACACACAACACATATACACATCTCTGAAGATTTTGGTGCAAAATATTTTCGTATTAAAATGAATTTTGTTCTCATTATAACAGCAAATAGAAAAAAAATAGGGTCATTAGAAGAAAAAAAAATCTACCCTACTGCTGAAAAATGATCATGGTTAATACCTCTGTTGGGCTCCTTCCTGACTTTTTCCTCAATGTGTACATCTATATTTTTCATGGAATCACACTATACATAGTTTTCTAAATTGCTTAAAAAATAAAAACCTTTCATTTAGAGAACTGGATACTGGAGGCTCTCTGTGAGGGTCATAACACTGCTTGTTCTTACTGGCTGTCACGTTTTCATCTTTCAGCATGTGAGCTCTGGAAGCCCAGCCAGGGGCAGAGGCCCTTACCAGAATTCTATACTAATCTGATGGCTGAAGACCTAAGGTTTGGAATCTCCCCATCCAGACTGTTGGGGTACCAAGGATATACCCTGGTAATGTTCCCTGATATTTCATCGTCAGGCTGTGACAAGTGGAAAGCAAGCCCTTTCTCCCTGGTTGCTACGGATTTTGATGATACAAAGAATGTTCTCCATCTGATGCTGGACAGACCCCAGGAGCTTACATAGTTCTTGTATTAATCTATATCAACAGCTGTCAACTCATTGGGCAAAATGTTAGGTGAAAATTTGAGATACTTTTGTATTAAGTAGATACTATTCCTTATATTTTGCTTTCTGCAAGTACCTGGTTTTATAAAAAAAACCCGATAAAGTATTTTAAAACAACAACAACAAACACCTTAATATATCATCAAAAATTACATCAGTCTAACTACTGAAGAGGCTGAGGCAGGAAGATCATAAGTTTGAGGTCAGCCTGGGCAACTTACTGAGATACTATCTCAAAATAAAATTAAATAATAAATAAGTAAGTAATGCAGGGGATGTAGCTCAGTGCAAGACCCTGGGTTTAATCCCTATTAATGAAAAACAACCCCCCAACTCATATCAACACATACTTATATTTACAACACTTTTTCAAATTGTGAACCACCTCTAGGGGTGGGGAAGGAGGCATTAACACAGGGCGAAGTGCTTTTTACTCTTTACTCGATAGTATCTCAGAATTATTTCAACTTTGATTTCTCGGATTACTAATGAGATAGGCAAGGTTCTTTGTATGTAATACTCATTTGTGTCTGTGACAGTCTTTTTTGTTGTTGTATTGTTTGTTTTTGTGGAGTCTTAATCATTTTAAAGCATGATCCTAGAACCTAACTTCTTCAAGTATCCTTAATGTAGCCCGTATTCCTCCCACGGTGCCCAGTTCAAGAAGCCCTGACTTCAACACTCGCTGCTCCTGCAGTACTCCATCTCCTTGCCCCCCTGCTCTCACTAACGATCTTAAACCCTCTTCCACTAAGTACACAGAGCTTTCCTTCTTGGGCTCCCTCATATCTTTTCATTACCGCACCCCAACAGAGCCTTATCTATAGCTCTCTCTATTTTTTTCCTGGCTCAGATAATGAAAGCATTTTGAACTCCAACTCAACCCTTCTATCTAAGCACTGGATTCCATCCTTGCTAGCGCCCTCTGGTACCTGAAAAGGTGAAAGGTGGGAGAGGACACTGGGAGATGATATGCCACTGACTATGAAGATGGAGGAAGAGAACATGCACCAGGGAAAATGAGCAGTTGCCAAAAGCTAGAAAAAACAAACAAACACATGGAGTGTGGTGGCACAAGCCTGTGATTCCAGCAGTCTGGGAGGATGAGGCAGAGGGATTGTAAATTCAAGCCCAGCAATTTAGTAACTCAACCAACCTGGTGACTCAGGAGACCTGTCTCAAAATAAAAAATATATACACATAAAAAGGGATGGGATAGCTCAGTGCCAAGGCCCAGGCCTCAAACCCCAGGGCTGAAAACCAAAACAAAACCAAAACCAAAAAACAAGCAAACAAATTCTCCCTTGAACCCTATCTAGACCCTTACAAGGAACCAGCCCCATCAATTTCGGTCCAGTATGTTTAATTTTGAACTTCTGAACTCCACAAACATAACTACTGTTTCAAGCCATTGACTAAGTTTGTAGTAATTCGTTACAGCTGCAAGAGGAAACCAATGTGTATACAGGCCAGCAGCGTACTGTGGACTATAATACATTAAAGAGTCTCCATATGAAGATATAGAGTGAGGACGAGGTGTTTAGGAAAAATTATCAGCCGGGTGTGGTGGCATACGCCTGTAATCCCAGCATTGGGAAGGCTGAGGCAGCAGGATCGTTGTGACTTTGAGGCCAGCCTAGGCTACAAAGTGAGTTCAAGGCCAGCCTGAACTGCCTAGTGAGACCCTGTCTCAAAGAGACACACACAAAAAAAGGAAGAATTATCAAAGATGACAACCCTAGGTCAACTGTTTTGTAGAGATGGTCCAGATAGAGGAAGCAGTATCTGCAAAGGCAGAGAGAGAGAGAGAGAATGAGTTCAACAGAGGAAGACTCCATTAAATACTCCTTCGTTATAGTAAGAGTAAATGTTTTAAGCCAGGCACTGTTCTAAAGCACATTACAATCCCGTGAGGTAGAAACTATTATTATCACCCTCATTTCCTCATAGGGATACAGAGGTCTGGAGGAATTAAGTAACTTTCCACAGATCACAGAGCTAGTAAATGGCAGAACTAGAATGAAGAACCGTGACTGTCTCCAAAACCCACGAACTTTCCCTCTCCACATTATGGTGCAAGCACTAAGCACTATGATGGGGTCATCAGTAGGGCTCGGGCTACACGAACTATCAGAACTATACTAATGCGATAAAGATGGGCAGAAGTTGGAATATCATCTGGTCTTGGACACTGACGGGGGAGGATGGGAATGATGAATAGGCCATGTCCCCTAGACTTCTCTGATGTGATGGTTTTGCTGTTAGCTAGCTCATGCAGGCGCTTTTCCTGACTACTCAGAGTAAATTCCTCTGTCGTTACAAACTCCACACCTGTGTAATCTCACTTCCGTTTCTCCTAAATCCTGAGGCCGAGTTGGGGCCTGGGTCTCAGTGGTGGCGCACGCCTGTAATCCCAGCACTCGGGAGGCTGAGGCAGGCGGATCATTGCGAGTTCGAGACCAGCCTGGGCTACAAAGTGAGTTCAAGGCCAGCCTGAACTGCGTATCTAGACCCTGTCTCAAAAAAACAAAAACAAAAACAAAAAAAAAGAAAGAAAAAAAAAGCCTGAAGCAGTTCGAAACAATGGGGCTCAATAGCTCTTGTGGCGGATAAAATACTGATTCCTCGCCCGAGTCAGAGATTCTGATGGACTCGTACCAGTTTAGGTCTCCCCCGCCAAGACCCTCTCGCCAGGTTTAGGTTACTGGGGGCTCGATTACTGCCTGGGGCTTCCCAGTCCCGTTTTCCTCCAGACCCGCCCCAGGCCACCCCGGCCCCGCCCCGCCTCCCGGCCGACCCCGCCCCGCTCCTGCCCTCCCTCCCGGCCCCGCCCCGCCCCTCCCCTCCCCTCTCCAGTCTGTCTCGTCTCCCCTCCGTCGGCCACACCACTTGGTCTCTCCCAGCTCCGCCTACCCCGGGTCCTCCCGTGAGGCGCAAGATGGCTGCTGCCGCGGGGCCGGTCTCGGAGCCGTGGAACCGCGTGAGGATCCCCAGGGCAGGGAGCCGCAGCACAGTGACAGCGAGGGACCCCAGCGCCGCCCTGAGTGAGTGAGGGTCCGGCGAGTGGGGCCGACGTTTCCAGGGGGCGCAGAAGGCCGGGAAGCACGTGGGGGGGCGGGACTTCCTGAGCGCGGGGCACGCTGGGAAGGGTGCGGCGTCGCGAGTGGCTTTGGTTCCGCGGTCGCCCCGAGCCTGCAGCGCTGACGCGGGGCCTGGCTGGGGGGCGGCGGACCAGGTTAAAGGGCTACCTGGGACTGTGTGTTGGCTCAGGCCCCGCGAGGCTAGCCTCTGCCCTTTTCCCTTCTGCCTCTGCGGGAGCTGGGGCGACGCCCGAGCACTTTGCAATTTAATTGCAGTGTCTCTGGACCTGGGTTCCTTATCTGTAGGACAGAGCTTGTCTTCGCAAACCCTTGCGCGGCGATGCGAGTCTCCTGATTGTAGACTTCGGATCGAGTGCTCTGAACTGTCTCACCAACCTATGGTGGTTGTTGTTCTAGGCAGGGGGCGTTGTAGATAGGAGCTTGGGTGATAGATACTTTACCTTTCTGTGCCTCAGTGCGCTTTCAAATGCGAATAAAAATAGTACCAGCCTCTAGGTCTGATTTAGGGAATAAAAGAGTTGACCTTATAGGAAAAAGATTGGGAACACTGCATGTTATGGTAAAGAAGCACTGAGATGATAGCAGTTATAAACTATTTTAGCAAGTTTATGTTGTTAAGTTCAACCAAATTGTCACATCTCCCTATCTTATGCAGGTTACAGATCCCATCTTCCTCTACTCAGAAACTCAGTGAGAGGATTCTAGTTAGGCATGGGAATTTACCCAACCCCGCATCCTCCTGGCAGTTAGTCCTGTTTTCATGTAGTAGTTGGGACAGTAACAAAATTCCCCATGTTATGTAGAAAATTTGCTTTCCACCCACCGAATAAGATGAGCTGGTGCTTCCCTTAGAGCTGTTATCTATATCTTAGCCGTTCAGATTAGGAAGCACCTAGGCACCTATGTTTAGTCAGGTATTCACCAAATGCCGTAACTGATAGTCGGCATGGTGGATTCTCTTTCCGAATATAGTTTTGCTTTGTAACTTTTGGTTCTGGGAGCTCCTCCTATGCCAAAATTTGCAGATGCTTAAACCCCTTGTATAAAACGGTGTAGTGTTTTTATATAGCCTCACAATCCACTTGTATACCTTAAATTATCTCTACATTACTTATAATACAATGTAATTAAGTACAACCATTTGGTTGTAATTAAGTTCAGCCAACTATTATGTAAATAGTTGTACTGTTTATTGACAAGAATGTCCATACAGATTTGTATGGACAGAATGTCCTTACAGAGTAAGGATGCAGTTTTTTCCAGGTATTTTCCATCTGTAGATTCCATGTTGAATCTACAGATGTGGAATCTAGACATGGAGCACAGGCTGCATTTTCTTGTCTCTGTCAAAGTGGTGTCCAAATACAGTTCCTTTGACTTCGAAGGCTATGCATTTATTCATTGTCTTACTTACATGCATAGTAAAATGGGGGACCTAGAGTCGATATGACATGTGCCCAGCTTCAAGGTACTTGAGGCATAAGTGTACCCAAATGACTATAGAGTAGTCACAGGAAAGATTACTTCTGTCATGGCAAAGTGTGATGTAAAGAAATAAAATACATTCTTGTATAGGTGATGTTCTGTTTTGATTTCTGTTAATGATTTCCTGGAGTTTATATAATCTGTTACTGTTTCTCAGCTTCTCAACATACTTAGACCCCTTTGTTATGTTTACAGAGCTTAACTAATTTTTAAAAGCGTTTTTAAAAGCAAATATGGAAAGATACTTTTTTTGCTGTATTTTTTATACTAAACTTAATGTAGAAATACACACTAAGTCTTATTAAACATCTCTATTTTAGAACTTTGTATAGCAGCTGTAATTAAAGAATGCCATCTCGTCACACAGTCTCTGAGGAGCCAAACGTTAGATGCAGAAACAGATGTGTTATGTTCGATCCTTTACAGCAACCACAACAGAATGGGCCGCCACAAACCCCATTTGGCCCTCAAACAGGTGAGGGGGAAGCCTGCTATTCTGTGAAGCTGTAGCTCACACTGCCACTTACTATTTTGTAATTTATGGAAATCTCAGTAAATTACTTGTGATTTATAGATCTGTAGACCACTCTTAACACGTGGGCTCTCTCTTGCTGCCTTCCCTAAATAACCATTTCAAAAATTTTTTTGTTCAAAAGTTTTTTAAGTAATTCTTTCCCATTCCTTTTTAGTGGGTTAAGTAAAAAATGTTTAAGTATGTGCAGTGTATGTAAGAGTGAATTTGCCCGGTTCAAAGATAAAGTGATTTGATCAAGACAAATGTTAGACATTAAGAAACAATTTTCTGAACATAATTAAAATCCTAAAACCTTTGAACAAAGTTATAGACCATTTATTATGGAATATATAATTAATCAGTAGTGTGCTGGGATAATTATACATCTAGCAAGTTGTGGTAAAAAGAGAAAGACAAAATTGGGCCCTCCGGCCCGGAGACGCCGCTAGAGGAGAACCTCTTAAATTGAGTTTCTTATGTGCTCATTTGTTTATTCACTTTATTAATTATGTAAGTAGTGTTTGCAAGTCTAGTGTGCTATTCATTATATGCCAGAGCTACTTTGCAAATAGTTTTTACCACTTTCTCTGTGCCAGGCACTGTGCCTGATGCTGTATGTCTAGGAGTGAAAAAAATGTACCTAATCACTAACCTTACAGATGAAACTCATAATTTAAGGCAAAGAGTATGAAAAATTCTTCAACAAAGAAAGATCTGGCATCATGGTCTTTCCCTAATTTTTCTTCTCTAGGATAGCTTTTCTCGGAGTCTTCTCACACCTAAGCGAACTGGATAACCTTTAAGTTGAACCTATTTCCCCTTTCACCTCCAGATTATGAATAATTACCCAGTCATGCAATTCAGTATTCTGTTGTCTATGGTTTTTCTTACGTAGCTCATTTGGCAAGTCAGTTGGCAAGTGAGAACTTTTCTGTGTCTGCCATTTTCTTGTTCAGACCTTGTCAGCTTTGAGTTGCCTTATTATCCTGATTTATGGTTCCTCCCCTAGTGTTTCCTACCTTGTTGCGTATTCTGTGCACCAGAGCCAGGTTAATCATCTTAAAGCAACTTTAACTTTTAGTACTTCTCCATTGTGCCCTGACCAGTCTCCTTAGCTTGGCTTATAAGAGCTGCTTTCGTCTGTCTCTTCAGCCTTCTTAACTCAGGCTTTGCCTTTACCTTCAGAATATGAAATATGGAATGTGTTGGAATATATTCCAGCCAGTCTGAACCCTTAATGAATATGCATGCTCACCATGTTTGTTTCTGCTTGCGAGTCCTTGCTCTTCTGGCTCTGTGTGTTTAGAATGGCCGGCCGCTGTGCCTGCCTGTGAAAAGCTTTCTCATCCTCCAAGCTCCATTTTAAGCCTTCCTGGTAGTGATCATCTTTCCAAGGTGTAACATTTCAAGGTACATTTTTCTGATTATTAGTGAAGTTGAGTTCATCTTTGTATTCCCGCTTGGCTACTGGGACTCTTCTGTGTAGTTCTCTTGCAGCATTTGCCACAGACCGCGTTTTGGTACTGTATGTGTGTTTTGCTTCTCCAGGATCTCTCAGTGTGTCTCATGCTTCTCTTGGCTGCTGGCTGGGTATTGTCACCACCACTACTGCTGTATGTCTGCTTAACATTTCACACATTAGAACTTTTATATACTTGAAAACTCTTTTTTTCTGTCTTCAAAAGCTAGGTACTAGAATTAGCCTTTCTGACCTTCCCCTTCCATGTTCAGTGACTGAATCACTCTCCTCATCTCTGCGCTAGTATTTACAGACTGTTGAAATTTAGTTGTTAGTAACTTACTCTTGTTTTCATAATTCACTATTATAATTCATGTTGCCTCATCAAAATTATAATCTTAAGAATTGCTTTATACATATTTTGACCATGGTTACAGCATCATGCACATTTTGGCATATTGTAATTCTTAAGCATTACTTAATCTGAGAAATTTGTTGGGCTGGATAAATTGCATATTTGTAGCCAGAATGAGTTATTTGGGCATTGTATTTCTTTATTCCTAAAAAAATGGATCTTGTGATATTTAGCATGTTTTCATACTTTGAAAGTCTGTTTTCTTTGCCTTCCTGGTCCTATCAGTGATTGTGCCTGTGCTGTGTATATATTAATTTGAGCTGCTCTTCCTCTTTCAGGTTGAACAATGTTTAAAACGTTTGAAAAATATGAATTTGAAGGGTTCGATTGAAGATCTACCTGAGTTGTTTTCTTCCAAGTAGGTTCATTGCCTTGTGATGTGATGGGCTGGGAATTTGATATCTTGTTGTGATCTCTCTTTGAATTTCTTCTGCTTAATGTTGGGATATAACCAATTATACCTCAGCTATACAAATTTTATTTCACTGGGGGCAGTTGGTGTTTGTGGTAGTAAATCTACCTCTATTGGTGTATGGGAGGGACCAGTATGACAGTGAAACCTGGGTCACAGTAGGTATTACTGAAACGTCAGTAGGTTGTTACCAAGCAGGTCTTCATTTGAAAACTGATACAGAAATGCTTTTTATAAAAAAAAAGAAAAAGAAATGCTTTTTACTTTAAAATGAATGTAATATACTTTTCTGTTTTTGTCAAGTGAAAATCAGAGTGTAGCTACCAAAGTGTGTGTCATCCCCAGCCAACCAGTGGTGGAGTTGGCGTTGATGAAGGTTTTAGGGGCCTGCAAGCTGTTACTCCGCTTGTTGGATTGCTGCTGCAAGGCATTTCTGTATCCTTGAATGTATTGAAATACTTTGTTGGGAGTGGGAATTGTTTGGATATATTTGGCAGTATTCCTGTTTCTAAGCTAGAGTCTGTAAGTGTTCTAATCTGTGGGAATTCTTAAAATTTAGTCTTGGCCTCCTTTTTCCAGTAAACGCCGAGTATGGCCCTTGTCAGAGGCTTCCTGTTTCTTTCTAGCATGTATTATCCTAAGAGCATTGACAGGTATAAATTCTTAACCTTAGAAAGTAAATTTAATAATGGATCTCTAGCGGAGTATATATACTTACGTTTTGCAGTGGATTTTTGCTTTTTAAAGTATCATGGGATTGAACCCTGGGCCTTCACATTGAGCCACATCCCTGGCCGTTTTTAAATATTTTTTTTCTTTTGTCTTTTGAGACAGTTCTGCTAAGTTGCCCAGGTTGGGTTCACACTTAAGGTTCTCCTGCCTCAGATCCCAGAGTGCCGAAAGTAAGGCACATGCTACCACACCCAGCAGTGGAACATGTCTTAAGGCTTTAATGCCTTCAAGAAGATTCTTTTTACCTCCAGTTTATTTCTTCTCTCATAATTGTAACTTGCAAAACTCAATTACTTTGGTTTTGTTTTCTTACCTTAAATTGATTCTCCAGTTTGACTGTGAAACACCTAGGATTGCGAGAGTTCATTATTTTAAACCTTGTCGTGGTTGGGCTGGTGAGCAGATTATGGTATGTATATACTTTTGACCTCTTTCATTTCTCTACCTCACCCTAGTTTTCTTATGAGTATTTCATGTAGTTTCATGTCATATGTTGAAGGTGTAGGAGTTCGCTTTCTTCATTTTACCAGTTTACTTGTGGTAGATTAGGACGGCAAATGCTGATGATTATGACAAAGGACTAGGCTTCCTATCTGAAGCCCATGAGATTGATCTAACACCTAATGGCAAAACAAGTTAATTCCTAAGATATAGAAACTGGAATAATAAAAAGTTGTGGGCAGTAATTACATTGTAATGGACCATTTAAAATGAATCCTGTGCTGGCTGTATCTTGATTCTTTGTGCTACTTGGTTTCTGTTTTTTTAATGGCAATGAGAAAAACAATTTGACCTTCCATATGCACCTGAAACACCACCATTTTTTGAGGTGTATGATTGATATAAAAAGCACTAGTAACACTTGCACACTAAAGAGAGCATACTGTTACATTCTTAATGATATATATTGTGAAAATGGTTTAATGGCTAATTAGACTCAGAATTGAATCATTAGCTTTAATTTGAAAGACCAAAACTGAAAAAAAAAACACCAAAAACTTTGCTTTCAGTGGTTGAAAACCTTGGTTTAATGGCTTAATCTGATTATCTTGCATACTGTTTTTAATCTTGTTTATTATCCTGCTTATTCTTAGAAGTAATAACATTTGAATTATGAATCATTATTTTAAAATATTTAACCTGTGTTACTATTTTTGTTTGTTTGGGTTTTTTTGGCTTTTTGAGGCAGGGCCTCGCTATGCACTTCAGGCTGGCCTTGAGCTCACTTTATAGCCCAGGTTGGTCTCAAATTTGCAATGATCCTCCTGCGTCAGCCTCCCGAGTGCTAGGATTACAGGCGTGGACCACTACGGCCCGGCTACTATTTGTTTTTGTAGTGAAAAGAGAGACAACTTTTGCTGAGTACAGCAATGATGTATGCTTATCTTAAGGAATTTACAGATAACTAAGTGAACATGAAATTTGCCTGAAATCTTATCATCTAGATCAGTGGTGGCAAACCTATGGCATGTGTGTTGTTTTCTTAATGTATAAGTTGGTGTTTTCTAAACTAAAACCTCAGTATTCAGGTTTAATTGCAGTGTTGGCCTTTTGTGGTAAATAAGTGGGTTTTGAGTTATAGTTCGGGCACTTGTCTCTAAAAGATTGCCATCACTGATTTAGATAAAACTACTCATAGGATTTTTTATTTGCATCCTTTGGTACATCTTTAGCTAGTTGTTTGTTTTTGAGTAACATTTTATACTATGATTTTTCTGTTTGGGCTGGATTAATCTGACTGCTTACAGATACACAGTATTTTTTATCTACAGTAACAACTTGATAGCCGTGCATTGCAGTTTTGAATATTGCAATTTATTATGTGTTGTGCAAATTATTATTATTAGCCAGTTTATGAGCCCCTTTTTTCTTTCTAGGGTTCTCTATAAAGATGTTTTAAGAAGGTTGATTTCTTTATATGAGCCATTGTTTGTATTGCTTCAAGAGGTCTCTAGGATTCAACCCATGCCTTACTTCAAAGATTTTACCTTTCCAGCTGATATTACCGAATTTCTAGGACAACCCTATCTTGAAATCTTTAAGAAAAAAAAGCCTACAGCTTTTGCAGCTAAAGGAGTAACTAAGTTGCTAAATAAACTATTTTTGAAAAAAGAACAATCACCAGGATCCAGTGAAGACACTTCACTTAGAATTGCCCAAAAGGCTAAACAAATGACAATCAATGTACAGAATAATGTGGATCTTGGACAGCCAGTCAAGAATAAGAAAGTCCTCAAAGGTAATTTGCTTTGATAGCACATATTATAATTAAATAAACCACTTGAAAGCATGCATTGTATAGAAAGAAATTCAGTAGCTCTTCTAGTTAACCCGTTCTGATTATCTTTACAGAGGTATGGTTATCTATGTTTTCTGAGCTTGAGCACTTAAAGTTCTTTGTTTCTCTTGCTCTTTCATAGTTTTTTGCTTGCTTTATTTCCTTTATTTCTTTAGTGGTAACCTAGTAAAACAATTAACTCACTTAAAAATTTGTGATTTGAAAATGGTATGCCTGAGATTTTGTATCTGTGATTTTCCTCTTCCCAGAAAAGTCATCAGGATTTGATGTGAGGGCTTTCTGCGAACAGCTGAAACACAAAGCTATTCAGGTTAGTCTGGCTAAATTTAATGCAGCATATGATTGCTAATTCGTAAGGGGTGTTACTTATCAAGGAAAGGATTGGATCTTGTTTCTCTTATTTCTTCCCACCTAAGCTTGGTGTCTTTTTAGTTCTCAGTGTGTGATTTTTTTCCTCTCCCCTTCCTGCCCTCCTGCCCACTCCCCCGCTTTTTTTTTGTCTAGTACTGGGGATTAAACCCAGGGAGTGCTGGGCTATATCCCCAATCTTATTTATTTAGACAGAGTCTTGCCAGATTGCCCAGGCTGGCCTTGAACTTGTGATCCTCCTGTCTCAGCTTCTGGAGCAAGAGATTATAGAAGTATGCCGCCACTCCTGGGTTGGTGTGTACTTTTGAATGAATAGATATTTTAAATGAATCCACTTAATTCAGTTACTAGAATGCCTTCAGGAATATTTTAGGAGTTTCTTTAACATTTTAAAGTGACCATAAATTTCACTGTAAGTATGGATTTTACTGCAGTTAATGGTTTGGGAATTGCAGTTAGGCAGATGGTTTGAATCTGGCTCTGGCTTGCAGAGCTGTGTGACCTGTAAGTTCTTGGACCTTCACATCCCTGTATTTTGTAATAATAGAATATACCTTATAGGGCTGGGTTAGTTTTAATGCATGTAAAGTGTTCAGCTGAGGGTGGAGTATATGGTAGACACTTAATTGGTGTTAGATGTTACTAACAACTGTCAGCATTTTTGTCATCATCCCCACTTGTCTTGAGGCTTCTGTTGTCTTACTGAGGCTTCAGCTTTAACATGAGTCTGAGTGCCTATAAGTTCTGTTTATTCTGAACTTAACAATGGGTAAATAAGTCAGTGTCGCTCTTTTATCACCCAGTCAGTACTTGACTTTGGTCTTCACAAAATGCCTGGTTTCCTTTGTGGGTTAGGTTTTCAATTGTACTTAGGAAATCTTAATCATTTCTATTAAGTATTTCTTTCTTGAACTTTTCACAGACTCCAGCCTGTATCTAATTCTGCCCAATTCATGAGTTCAGAGGCAAGAGTAATAGTAACAGCTAATACTTTCTGTGGCTGACATTGCTCTAAATGCTCTGTATGGATTAATTTATTATCTTCAGAAAAGCCCTGTGAGGTAGATGCTTTTGTTACTGTATTCACAGTTCATGTGAGAAAATCATGGCATAGAAAGGCTGATAAGCTTCTACCAACCACACAGGGCAAGCCATTTGGTTTCGGTCTGTATGCTTTACCATTACACAAGTCTTCAAAGTGGTTCTTTCAGTTCTGGGTCTCAGGGAGAACCCTGGTGCTTTGTGACCCTTGAAACGGGTTTTGAAGCTGGTTGGCCAGCATCCCTCGTATTCAAAGTAATCACTACAGTATTTTTAGTACTTGGCACCAATATGCTGTTTGCTTTTAGGGCAACCTTTTTTATCAGTCACCAAAGAAAATATGGATGGGCTTCTATAAATTCTGGGTGTGAAAAATTTGGAAAGAAGATAAACTTTGAATAGAGAATAGGTGCAGACTTGGTAGGTGGCATATTTTTATAAAGAAATAGTAAGTTAGTAAAACCCAAACTTAATACAGAAACAGAGGCTTGAATAAAGGTGGCTTGTTAGAAATGGCTTAAATAGATTTGGAAGTGCTGTTCTGGTAAGCATTTTTAACATGTTTGATAGATGGTTTTTAACCGATTGATAGGCCTAGCCTGCTGAGGACTTTGCCAGGCCCCATATACCGGCTCTCCCTGGTGTAACATATATGACCCATCATTGAGGAGGATTATTCAGGATAGAACAAATTAAAAACCAGTGTGACAGTCCAGTGATATCCAGTGTTTTTTTCCCACCATTAGGCTTTGAGCATAGTTTAATCCTGTGGAATTTTATTCTTATGTATGTTGGGGATGTACATCAGAGTATTTATATTGAGTTTCCTGTGTCCATTTAATTTGGTAGCGGATGGGCTTTGTCTTACTATGAAGTGCAGGACGAGTAAGAGGAAGCCAAGTTTTGTATTAGGAGCAGTGGATAAAAAATTAAGTTTTTTAAGAAAAGGAAAGTATAATAAGTGAAAAACCTTCCTTTTAAAAATACTATTTTGAAATTTTGATTTAGTCAGATTTCCCTCTTATATTTGCAAGTTAGTAGCACTCAATATATTTTCTCACCTTTTCACATTTCAGGAGACCAGCTTTGAATCTGTATCTTCTCAATCCAAACTAAAGACAACCAAACGTTCTTCTCGGAAAATGATAGGATCTCTGCATGCCAAAAGTTTTGTACAAAGATTCCGAGAGGCCAGAACTTTCATACAACTTTCTGAAGAAATCCAAGTGGCAATTGTATGGTGCAGGACCAAAAAACTCAAGGCTCAGGCCACCTTTCTGGCTAACAAACTTCTTAAAAGTAACCGGCTTAAACATGTAGAAGCTCAAGGTTATAGGTAAGTATATTACAAAAATTATGTATATATTCAGGTTTCTTTAAAAAAGAGGTATCTAGCAGGGCTTCAGGCACTAATGTGAGATCTACTCAAAGTGTTATTTCATCGGTTGTTATTGTTATGTGGGCAGAGTTAATCCTTGAGAGGAAGAAAGTAAATTTAGGTGAATGGACTTCCTCATTTATACTCTTTACCATTCCCACTTCTTTATTCAGAAGCATTAAGAATGTGGTGTATTAAGCCTCAAGATACAGCTACATGAGACAGATTTAGTCCTTGGGAAGCTCCTGCTTTAGTGGGAGAGATGGCTTTTCTGCACTATGTCACTGCGGATGCAGAAGGCATACACTGCTATGAGGGCCAACGTTAGAGTTGATGTTTATAGGGGCTAAACTCCACATATAGACATCTTTCTTTTCCTGTGATTCTTAAATTCAGGCATGCTTAAGGTTGTGAGCATGAAGCAGTCCATGCAGGGCTTTGTATTTTTATTGAAAAAGTAATAGATGCCTGTGGTAACAATTTCAGATGTAAACATAAAGATCCTCTTCTCTCTCTTTTTTTTTTT